GTTCAGTTTTTCGTGTGATTCACTGAACACAGCATGTTAAAGCATGGGAAGATTCAAATGGACGGCTCAAAGACTGGCATGTTGAGCCAGAAATGTTCTTATTCTCTGTAGAAGTTCTTTCTTTACACTATCAGGTACTAAAGCTGAAAAAGAAAAGAAAAAGAAAAGAGCAAGATGAAACCATTGCTCTTTTATGCAAATCATTTCAAATACAGATAGTCCCCAACTTACAACTCGTCACTCAGTGATCAAAGTTACGCCGGACCTGCCCAGAGCTACTTATGACCAAGTTTTCAAGTTCAACAGCCAGACCACACTCTATAGTCATGTGATCGCATTTTGAGTGTTTGCCCACATTTACAGCTTTTTAATTGCAATTTATTATGATTTCTGCTGGACACTGATGTGTAACTTCTGGTTTCTGGTAAAAAAAAAGGAAAATTTCCATTGGGGTCACTTAACAGCTGTATCAGTCACTCAGTCACAGCAAAAAAGGTGTAAAATTGGGCACAGTCACATGCTTAGCAACATGAATTACTGCTGTAGTTCCAAGCTCAATTACAGTCATAACTTGAGAACTGTTTGTTTATACAATATTATACTATCCTTTGTGCATTACTATGTGTATGACCGTGGATGCAGGTATATTTGTCATGTGGCACCACCTGATTAATGTTGACAATCTAGAAAACTAAGTATGATTGACCATAGATAGGACTGGAATGAGAAGTCCAAAATTCTTACAAAAAGCATGGAATGCCAACATTTGAATCAGACCCATATAACAACATGAATGTGTCCGTGTGAGCCACCAAATCAAGCTTAACCCAAAAATAGTCTTAGTTGCTTGAAAGAAACTTCGGAACACTCTTGGTAGAGTGGCAGACTGAAAATAAACAAATTATGTGTAGTAGAGACAGATGAAAAATGCATTTGGAAAAATACATCAAAAGGCAAAAGTATAGGATATGGGATGTCTTGCTTGGGAATAGTGCCTAGGGGTTGTCTGTTGAGATTCTCGGTCGTCCAGGTCATGATTGTCCCAAAGATGCTTTTTCAGGAGGCAACTGGATTTTCTTATTTTTTTCTTTTGAAGAGGTTTGGCTTCTCATCCAAAAAGCTTCTTCAGCTCTGACACAGTGGTGGATTGCAGGCAGTAGGCCCCAATATGGGTGTACCGGAGCCTGCCCGGAGCACCGGGTACCATTTTGGTACGGTGTTCCGGAGGGCCTATCCGCTTGCCTGCGCTCCTTACCTGTCTTTAAACCCTTTGGCGCTGTATGTGCCATGTGCGATGCTCTGCCGAGCAGCTGGTGCATCGCAGAGGCGTTGCTGGATGGTAAGATGCACGTGGGGGATGCCGAGCTCCATTGCAACCGTATAGGTTGCAAGGGGATCCAGAACCCACCACTGCTCTGATAGAATAGCCATTCCATTCCCTTCCATTACCCAATATCCTGTCAGAGCTGAAGAAGCTTCTTGGATGAGAAGCGAAATGTCTTCAAAAGAAAAACAAGAAAATCCAGTTGCCTTCTTGAAAAAGCACCTTTGGGACAGTGCCTAGGGATTGAAATTGATCAAAAGGTGTATCAGCAGTATGCTACGACTGCTCAAAAAGCAAATCCAGTGAGTATGGCAACAAATGATAACAAAAGTGATCAAAGAGATGATCAAAACAAACAATTATAATGAAATATGGTTTTTTTTTTAATAAAATCAATGTTGGTGGAAGGCAAAGAGAATAAACCTACTCAAGAATATATGTTGTTTTGGAGGGGATAAGGGCAGAAATGGAATATATTGTATTTCTTTTAGTTGTTAAAGACAAAGAAATATAAGAGGGGGGGAAAGGGTCTCGGGGGGGATGAAGTATAATATTAGCTTTTCTTTCTTTTTTTGTATTTAAATATATATGTACTAGGTTTGTTTTATTTGCCTTTAAAAAAATATTAAAAAATAGTATATTTTTCAGTGCACCTGAAAAGAAGGCCAGTTTGTATATCATGGAAATGAACTGCTGAACTCTATTTTGCATTGTGTTGCATCCAGAAATGAAAGGTAAAAGTTAATCAAAGCAATTGGGCACATATGTCCCATAGAAGCATGGTCAAACGACCTAGATTTGAACATGGTCTGAAAGTGATTTAGAAGGCATCAAAGAATGCTCCCAACTTCTTTGATTCACTTTTGTCATTTTTAACCTTGCTGTGTATCTTAGTGTCATTAGAAAGGTCTTAAAATTGGGCATAACTCGGTTAGCAACCACCTCACTTAGTAGCAGTAATTCTGGTCCCAATGATGGTTGTGAAAAATCAAGGACTATTTGCAATTGTCTTATATTATTGGAAACCACATTCCGGCTGATAGTAAAAACTTCCTAAGAATCAGATAGGGACCAATTCCTTGGGAAGAGGTTTTTCCACGGACCGGGGTGAGCGTGATTTTTGCATGCTACCTACATCCCACGAATAGGGCTTCAATCATTTCTGTGGCCCGGTTGCTGGCATGCCACGGTCTGGTGCCAGTCCAAGACCGGAGGTTGGGGACCCCTGAGACAGATAATGGGCTTGTCTTTGTTGAATATATTCCTACAGAGGCTGGCATTTGTTACGGATGCTTTCATTTGGAATCCTGCATTGATCATCTCCATGTAACACTTGTAAATTCTATAATTCTGTGATTATTATTTATAGCAATATCTCAGGGCCCGCACAAATTTTTCCCTGAGACAGTGAATAGAATCTTGAAATATGAAAAAGCAGAGATGATGAGCATTGCTAAGCCACTTAGAATATCATTATTAAAAACATATTAACGATCTCAGCAACTTCAGCTCTTTCAATTAATATTAATATCCCTGCAAGTAGGACTTCACAGGTCCCCTTGAAATTATTGTAAGTTTTATTCTTAGTTTTTGTTGTTACCCTCAGTGGCTAATCACATCTAAAAGACTCAAAGCATTTTCATAGCAAATCAACATGTGAGAATATTTTAATGCAGAGATCAAGGAAACAAAGGTTGGTTTATCCTTTTGACCAGATAAACCAATATTTCTCAACCTCAGCAGCTTAAAAGGTGTGTAGACTTTTCCCAGGATGTGTTGCTGGTTGAAGAATTCTGGGAGTTGAAGTCTACACATATTAAAGTTTCTGATGTTGAAAAACACTGGAATAAAATGCAAATGTAAATTCCAGGGCATCGCAGGAGAGTACATGAATCAGTCATCTTCTTAAAGCTATACAAATGAAGTTTGCTCAGCGCCTAGAAAGAATTAATTCCAACAACTCAGTGTACACTTTATGCTCAAGTACCAAAGCAACAGAACATTATTACCTCTGCCTTTTGGAGTAATTTCAGCCACCAAATCATCAACAGTAACATGTTCTAGCCCTTTTTCTTTGATGACATCTAAGCAAAATAAAGACAAGCAGATAGGTGTTATGTCAGATAAAAATACAGAGGTTTGCTTTAGTTACACAAACTGTAACTAAAACATAATTTTTGCTCATTAAACTCAATAGCACAAACCTATTTATACATTAAACACTATTTATTGGTATCCTGCCTATTTATTTTTACAAACAAGTCAAAGCAGTGAACATATCCAAAACATTTTCCTTCTATTTTTTCCATAACAGCAACCCTGTGAGGTTGTTTGGGCTAAGAGAGTGACCTGTCCAATGTCATGCAGCTTACTTTCATGACTATGGTGGAACGTGAACTCAGGATCTCCTACTTTCCAGGTTGGTGCCTTAACCACTAGATCAAACTGGCTCTATTTTAAAAT